TTGTTTGTCATCTCGCATGTTGAGCCCCCGAAGACCGCGCGCAAGGCCCGCGCGTGTGACTGCGTTGAGCGCACCATGGCCGAGCACTTGTCGTAGCCAGTCTGGAGGTAGCTGAAGGCCGTATCTGTCGCCGACTTGCTGGCCTTGGAGCTCGCAGCCTCGCCGCCGCCTCGCGAAGACCGAGGTGTCTCGACGGCGCCCTCGTGAGGAGGAATGCTGTAAGGAGGAGTATGATACACCTCCTCCTCCTCATCCGCCTCCTCCTTCTCCGCTTCCTTGTCCTTCTCTTCCTCCGCATCCCTCCTATCTCGTCTATCCTCCTCGAGCCTCCAACTCCTCCTCCTCCTCGTCCTCCTCGAGCTTCCAACTCCTCCTCCTCCTCCTCCAGGGGTCCTTCCTTTTCCTCCTCCTCCTCCTCCTCCTCCTCCTCCTATCGGCCTCCGTCGCCCACTTCTGCCAGTCGAGCTGCAGGCCTGCCTGGGCGTCTGCTCCCGACTTGCCGTCGCCAACCTGCTCGACCTTCGAGTTGACCGTGTCCTCCCTGTTGATCTTCCTCACCAACCCCTTGGACCTCTCGTAGAAGAGGCCGTCGTCGTCCTCGACCAGGTCGTTCCTGGCCACCGCGGCGTTGCACAACTCGAGGCCCCACTCCTTCACCCACCACGACAAGCTGTGGTGAATCTGCTTGCACGTCTCATCCTCTGTTTTCCGCAACGACGTGAACCTCGACATCCAACTCGTCGCCTCGCTCATGTCGAACACAGCCGCGTAGCCAACGTCCTTCGGCACGAGCGAGTTGACCAAGTGCTTCCGCTCCTCGCGGTTCATGTTCTTGAACTCCCTATCCACCTCGGGTTGCTTCGCCATGAACTTCTTGGCCACGTAGATCTGCTTGGGGCTGTACTGCGTCGAGTCCTGCTTCGGGAGCGGGTTGCCGTCCTTGTCGTAGCCCGGCGTGGGAAGATCAGCCCGCGGTGCCTTCTGGAGAGGCTCATCGCTGCCATCTTGAGAGCCAAGATCTTGGCTGCCATCTGCATCCGAGAGCTCTTCGTCGAACTTCCGCCAATCTACCGCAGCTGGCCTGCGAGGAACTTCAGCAGCAGCAGCAGCTGGGCGCTTCTTCGGAGGCATTCTCCGAAGCCGGTAAAACTAAGCACTGAAGGCGGTATGAACTGGGGAGGCCGTGGAAACGGTCTGAGCCAAAATGGCTACGGAGTGTTGAACGCCATGTTGTTTGGGTGGCTTGTCGAAGTATTCTACACAGTGTCTTCTTTTGGAAACTTGCATTATGCAACGTGCTGTTTGGATAGTTTCGAGGGGTGCTGATTTCCACCAAGAACTGAAACGCCTATAGGATCCTGCGTTTTGGGCCCCCATGGGTCATACTTTGTGGCTCGGAGGCGGGGGGGAGGCGGAGGGGGAGGAGAGGGAGACGCAAGAAGTTTGCGTGACTCCATCCGCTTACACGGGCACCTGTGTGTTAGGGGCTGACGTGCCCACCTATGTGGTGTGAGCTATGTTGTGCAAGCAATGCGGTGCAATATATGTGGTAGCAGCTATAGAACGAACTCATATGTGTGGTGTGAGCTATGTGTATAAGCTGTGTGGTGCAATGGATTAGGAGGAGGATAACGTCACGACCGCCGTCCATTGGGGATATACCAGGAGACATCGCATCACAAACGCGGAACGGCGAGTGGGCGATCAGACCTATGATTAAGGCGATTAGTTTATCTCGGCGCCCGGTTGACACCGTTCTCATCTCGTGCTGAGTGATTATAATCTAATGGCAAGGTGGATATGTAATTCAGCTAGCTGTCCGCGCCGAACATTTGCTCATAGACTCGATCCCATTTTTTGCCCGCCAACTGCCCTGCAATCCGTGCTCTCTCACGTGCAAACGTCTCATCTTTCCCTGTTTTTCCATTTTGCCTTCTCCTTGCTGCGCGCGTCGCTGTATGCTGCATTTCTGGCGCACTCATGATCACCCCATGGTATCTTCACTGAAGATTTAGACGGCTTACCCGCTGTGTGAACTCCTTTCTTCACGGTGGCAACGTGTCCCGATGGTTTCTTTGATGCCGTGTTTTTTTTTGCTGGCCTTCGCCCCGCGGATTGCATCGTAGCGTTTTTCTGGTTCGGCACTGGCACGCCCACCGTATCAGGCGCAAAAACACTTGGCAACCCAACGTCGTCCCCTTTGCTACTCGATGGCGTGTTTTTCCGATGATCCGAATGCTGCTCTGGTTGGAAGCATGCAGGGAGCTCCGCCCACTCTTCCTCAGAGGCATATTCTTTTCCTGCTGCAGATGGCGTACTCTCTACACAGTGTTCGGGATCACCTGCTGTCAAGCATGCCAACGTGTCTTTGACCTGGGCCCACTCTGTGGCTGAAAGTCGACGTCGAAGCGCACCAGTCTTCGGGTACCGTCTGTGCCACTTCTGCTCCATAGCTTGTTGATTCCTACCTTCTGCGTCTAATGTTCGCAAAACTTTCATCAGCCATCAAGTTGTTTGTCGCTTTGTGTGCAATGCCAACTGCGCTTTGATCCGATGCAAGCAAGTGGGGACGATCTGTCAGTATTTGCCGCCAAGCTGTCTCCACACGCGCACCATGAAGAACACCATCGGAATTCTCTTGCAATAATGATTTGGCCAATTTCAAGTTACGTACGAGGTTTGCCTCGGGGAACACATTGGGAACGGTCCTCGGACTCACTGTGCGTTGCGATGTTTCTGCAACCGCAACGGAACCCCCCCAACAGATTTGTGACACACCAACCACTGAAACAGTAATATACATTTGTGTAGTATGGTTTCCTATGTTGGTTAACAAAGCGTTCAGAAACAATACACCACGTAGTGGGTTCGAAGGTCGTCCCGTTGTGCTCCCCGAGCATGGAGCTGAAACCATATGTGCTTTGTCAACGAAAGGTCCGAACATACATCCCAAGGATCCGCAATCGCCGCTCTCTTTGACACAAAGTTCCATGTGTTTGGTGTACTGCAGGGCCGAAGCATTCGGATTCGGAACTCGCCTCTTGCGAGGCTCCACACTATGGGCTGGGCTACTCATTCCCAGCCAGAACACATACCATATCGAAACTGAAATGGTGAACATACGCGCTGCACGAGCCGAAACGCTGCAGCGAGAGTTGAGCATGCGGTGTTCACCCGAATGCCTTGGACACTGTCCTGGGACTCTTACTCTTACTCTTACTCCTCCTCCTTCTCCCCCTCCTCGCTCCTGATCCTCATTCCTCCTCGTTCTTCCTCCCAGCGCGGCCCCAACCGATGGGAATCTCAACCAGAACTGAACTGACAGGATCGTTGCTTTGCCACACGTGTGCATGGTCCGAAGCCATCTCGCTCAGAGGGGGGGCCGCTTAGGTCCCCGATGAGAGGAGGGGTCGATTAGGTCCCCGCTGAGAGGGCCCAGGAGAGGAGGACGAGGAGGAGGGAGGAGGAGGAGGAGGAGGAGGAAAGCGTAACGGCCGCCACCCAGTAGGAGGAAGAAGGGAGATAATAGCGTAACGGCCGCCATCCAGTAGGAGGAGGAGGAGGGGGAGGAGGAGGTGGAGAATAGCGTAACGGCCGCCACCCAGAGGAGGAGGATGAGGAGGAGGAGAAGGAGGAGGAGGATAATAGCGTAACGGTCGCCACCCGATAGGAGGAAGAAGGGAGAGAATAGCGTAACGGCCGCCACCCAGTAGGAGGAGGAGGAGGAGGTGGAGAATAGCGTTACGGCCGCCACCCAGAGGAGGAGGATGAGGAGGAGGAGAAGGAGGAGGAGGATAATAGCGTAACGGCCGCCACCCAGTAGGAGGAAGAAGGGAGAGAATAGCGTAACGGCCGCCACCCAGTAGGAGGAGGAGAAGGTGGAGCCCCAGCCGAAAGGGCTCAGGGGCGGGAGCAAAGCAAGTTCCGAGGAATCCTTGAGCTTTACCCCGATTCTCAGAGGAACGACTGGAGGAGGAGGAGGAGGAGGAGGAGGAGGAGGAGGAGAATAGCGTAACGGCCGCCACCCAGAGAGGAGGAGGAGGAGGATTATAGCATAACGGCCGCCACCGATGGGAGGACCCCCCACGGACCTCCCCCGCCTCCAATCCATATCTACACACACACACACGCACACGCACACGCACACACACACGCACACACGCACTGTTAATCCTCCGTGCTCCTCCGCCGCCTCCGAGTTGTCCGTCTCCTACTTTTCTCCTCCTTCCCTCCTTCTCCTCCTTCCTCGTTTTTCTCTTTCCCCCCCCTGCATGCAAGGGCGGTGCACGGGAGGTGGGTGGCCTTCGCGCCATATATACGCGTCGAGGGCGGGTCCCGCTCCCGTGCTCCCTCTCAGTGCCCTCCCTCCCTCCCCCTCCCTCTCCATCTGCCCCCCCTCTCTCCCCGTCGCCCCTCCACCGCCCTCCCCAGGAACCTCCCCTCGAGATCCCCCCTCGCGCCCGCGGAGGGGGGGGAAGGAGGAGGAGGAGGAGGAGGAAGAGGAGGAGTAAAGCGTAACGGCCGCCACCCAGTAGGGGGAGAATGGGCGAGAATAGCGTAACGGCCGCCACCCAGGGAGGACCCTCCACGAACCTCCCCCGCCTCCAAACCATTTATACACACGCGCACACGCACACCCACACATTCACGCACACGCACACACACACACGCACTGTAAATCCTCCGTGCTCCTCCACCGCCTCCGAGTTTCCCGCCTCCTCCTTCTCTCCTCCTCCTCTTTCTCCTCCTTCTCTTCCTCCTCTTCCTCTTCCTCTCTTTCCTCGGTTCGCACGGCGCGCAAGCTTAGGGTAAGAATTCTTAGGGTAAGTAGGGTAAGAAACCTAGGGGAGGTAGGGTAATTTTACTAGGGGAAGTAGAGTGACTTTCAAGTGGTGGCCCTAGGGTAAGTAGGGTAAGAAAATAGGGTGGAAACTTAGGGTAAGCCCTAACCCTAAGAGTTGGGGGAAATGGATGGTCAGGGAAGGGGAAGGGGTCGGGACCTCTGGGGCCGCGGATTGAAAAGATCACATCGGCGGATGTCTGGGAGGGCCAAAGGAGGTCCCCCAGGAGCGGCCCCGCGGCCCCCCCTTCGATTCCAGGAGGGGCCAAGATGGCCCAAGCAAATGCCGACAGGGGCGCAGGAAGGCTCCCGAAGGGCCTCGCGATGGCCCGAGGGAGCCTCAGGGGGCCTCAGAAGAGCCGCAGATGGCGCACGCGCTGGCACGCGCCGTGGGCTCCGGCTCGAGGAGCCCAGAGAGCCTGGCCAACACCGCAGGGCTGCGCACGCCGCCCATGGCCGCCAGCGCACGGGCGCAGCTGCCTTCGCAGGAGAAGAACCTCCGGACCCTGGCGGCGGCGGGCTCCAGCTCCGTATCCTCCAGCCAGCCGACCGCCAGCCTCATCGAGCCCAGGCCCCCAGCGGCCTCGAGAAGCACCACCCCGAGGCTCCAGCAATCCGCCGGCTTGGCGGCGTACGACGCATCCAGCGCCATCTCCGGGGCGATGCACGGCAGCTCCCCGCACGCCGTGGTCGACGGCGTCGACCCCGCGCAGCACGTCGCCGCGAAGAAGTCCACCAAGCGGCAGAAGGGCGTTTCCGACTGGTCATCTACCATGATGTGATCCAGAGACACTTGCCTGTGCACGATGTCACGCGAATGGCAGAAGGCCAGCGCTTCTGCTATCTGCGCGGTGCAGTCCACAGCTTCCTGCGAGTCGGCGCGGTACCCTGGCTGGTTCATGAGGTGCTGGCTCAGATTCTTCGTGCCCCCGACTTCGAGGGCCAAGTAGACCCGCGAGAAGCTATGGAGCACGGAAGTGCACTGGACGATGTGCGGGTGTCGGAGAACGTCCCTCAGGAAACTCAGCTCGCGATAAATGTTCTCCACGTCCCCGGCAGTTACATAGTTTGACTTGTCATAGACTTTGAGGGCGACTTTCTCGGTCGCACTGCGACGCGCCAGGAACACGTTGCTGTTCCTTGGGTTCAAATTGCGCACCAGCTGGAGATCTCCCACACGGGTAGCCGTCTCCACAAGACTATGATCGACCGGGGGGAACCCGCGCATCATAACTTTCGGAATGCTCTCCCAAAGCAGCTCGTGTTGGTACTTCAGCGTAGCCTCTGCCTTCTCGTCAGCACCTTCGACCATGCACTGTACACGCCAGGCAATTGCTTCAAGCCATGCCCACTGTAGGTTGAGCTCCGCGCACAGACCATCTGGATCGTCGCTGGGGTCGAGTATCACCATGTCGGCGCCCAAGGGGAGGAGCACGTCGTGGCGTGCCATGAGCATCTCCACGTACTCCCGGTTCATGTTGCCAGGGATCTCGAGCAGCTGCAGCAGGGCCACACGAAAGTTGTTGTTCGGCTCGATCTGCCTCCACAGGTCGGCATGGGCGGCGTCCGGCGCAACCCTAAACCCTAAACCCTAAACCCTAAATCCGGCTATCGGCGATCGGCTCATGGGCGGCGTCCGGCGCAACAAGCCTGCCTGGCTTGTGCGGCGAGCCCCACGGCACCAGGGTCGCGAACGCGAAGTCCTCGGGGAGCTGCGAAGCCATGCGGGTAACATAACTCTCCACGATGCTTCGGCTGGACGCGGGCGGCAGCCAGCCCGCTCTGGTGCTGCTCATGGCTCAACGCCTGACTTGCACTACGAAGTGGCGCAGCTCAACGCTACACAGCGCATGGCCTTCAGCTGGAGCACCCTAGCGCCAGAATGGCTCGGAAATGCAGCCAGCACTGAGGTGGGAGCACGTTCATGAATAAATTGCCAAGAAAACTCAAGCGAAATCGCCGCTGTACCGTGCTGGATCAGGCGGTCTAGGGCCCCCCGTCCCCATGGAGGACTCTTGTGTGGTCAATGTTTACTTTTATTTGAACCTTCTAAGGAAAACAGCTCGGGAACAATGTTGAACATGGGCAGACGTCACATTCAAAGCCGTATTGAAGGATACTTTCACCTGAAAGGATGCTGCTGTTAGTGTTGCGTGCGCCGCGGGCATGTGCATACGAATGGCGCTCGACAGACGCATTTCACTTGTCGTGGAAAGGACAAGGTGGTCAAAGCGCGCACACTGAATCGGCAACGACGTGTGATAACTGCAACGTCGATATGAAGACGAGTGGGCATGCACGATGTGCAAACAACTGGTATGCTTGCCCAAATCAAGCACGCATCGCCCGTGATTTGCGCAAGTCATATCTCCAGCGTGACATGCAATGTCAGCACTCACTTGCAAATCAGGATCCGAAGAGTTCACGCCAACGTCATCGCGCGTACGTGCCGAAATCCGCCGGCCCCCTTGTGGGGCCACCAGGCTGTAGGCCGGGAATTCGCAGTTTCCTGTACCAGTTGCAGCTTCCAGTTTCCACTGTTACAGTTCTGCTTCGTGCTGCTTACTGTTTCTTGTTGACTTCTTGCTGCTTACTGTTCCTTGTTGATGGACCGCGCGAGGAAGGGAGGCCCAAAACGGGCATTTTTACCACGGAAAAATCGTATGCTCTGAATTGCTGGGGGGGGGTAAAAATTAACACCCCTCACGCAGATCGGCGGGGTCAGAGTCCAAAAACACATGGGATTTGCCACATTTCCAAAATTCGCTGGCACCCCTCACGCAGAACGGCAGGGTCAGGGTCCAAAAACACATGGGATTTGCCACATTCCTGAAATTCGGTGGCACCCCTCACGCAGATCGGCGGGGTCAGGGTCCCAAAACACATGCGATTTGCAAAATTTCTGAAATTCGGTGCACGCAGATCGGCAGGGTCAGGGTCCAAAAACAAAAGGGGATTTGCCACTCTTATGAAATTCGGTGGCACCCCTCACGTATATCGGCGGGATCAGGGTGCAAAAACACACGGGATTTGCCACACTTATGAAATTCGGTGGAGCCCCTCACGCAGATCGGCGGGGTCAGGGTGCAAAAACACATGGGGTGTGCAACATTTCTGAAATTCGGTGGCACCCCTCACGCCAAAAACACATGGGATTTGCCACATTTCTGAAATTCGGCGGCACCCCTCATTCAGATCCGCAGGGTCAGGGTCCAGAAACGCAAGGGATTTGCCACATTTCTGAATTCGGCGGCACCCCTCACGCAGATCCGTAGGGTCAAGGTCGAAAAACAAACAGGTCCCGACACTGCTTCACGGCGAAGCCAAAGCCTCATGACTTCGTTCTTCCATGGCCCATTCTCCGAGAGAGGGGGCCGGCGGCAGGGGGCGAAGCCCTTACGGATATATATATATATATATATATATATATATATACACACACACTGATTTTCCGGTGCGAAGATGAACGGGTGGCAAACCAGCATAACATAGGCACCATTGATCCGATTCGGATGTTCGCAGGAATTCGCAATTTCTGGAACATTAACCATAAAAGTTCCCCCGGGGAACGACGGCTTCCACAGGAACACCGATGGACCACGATAGTGGCGGTAATTGGCAGATCGGTCCGGTAACCATCTTTGTCGAATTGATTTGTTTTCGTTTGTTTCCCGTTAGTGTTTTCGTTCATCAATACTGGTCCTGCTGTATACGTACGGCGCGTTGTCACTCATGCGAGGGACAAAAACAAACGCGACTGCAAAATCCGTAATGTTGCCTGCAATATTTGTTCCCTATCATTCGCTTTCTGAGAAAGACTCTTGCATTATTTTGGATATACCCTCCCGCGCCGTTGAACTTTACATGCAATCACAAAATAGAGCAACAAGTGCAACATGCTCAAGAGAGAATTCGGCATAATTTTACAATCACAAACACATTAGGCAAAATAAACGATGAAATGCAATTCGTACCCAAGAAACACACAACACAATTTGACAACATCGGCGATCTGCGCCATCCGGCCTACTATCCGAAACGGCAGAAATGTCAACACTAAAATGAAGCGCGGCTAACCTGAAACATTGTCGGGCAAAGCTCCCGCAACAATTTGGAATTTTGAAGAAAGAAGCAGCAACAACATGTCCGAACATAAAACGTATGCACCCCTCACACGTTTCGTGGCCCCATAGGGAGCTCCACCGAAGGCCCCAGTGGCTGCGCCCGCATGCGGTTCCACCCCCCATTCTGGCACACCCCTCACACGTTTCGTGGCCCCATAGGGAGCTCCACCGAAGGCCCCAGTGGCTGCGCCCGCATGCGGTTCCACCCCCCATTCTGGCACACCCCTCACACGTTTCGTGGCCCCATAGGGAGCTCCACCGAAGGCCCCAGTGGCTGCGCCCGCATGCGGTTCCACCCCCATTCTGGCACACCCCTCACACGTTTCGTGGCCCCATAGGGAGCTCCACCGAAGGCCCCAGTGGCTGCGCCCGCATGCGGTTCCACCCCCCATTCTGGCACACCCCTCACACGTTTCGTGGCCCCATAGGGAGCTCCACCGAAGGCCCCAGTGGCTGCGCCCGCATGCGGTTCCACCCCCCATTCTGGCACACCCCTCACACGTTTCGTGGCCCCATAGGGAGCTCCACCGAAGGCCCCAGTGGCTGCGCCCGCATGCGGTTCCACCCCCCATTCTGGCACACCCCTCACACGTTTCGTGGCCCCATAGGGAGCTCCACCGAAGGCCCCAGTGGCTGCGCCCGCATGCGGTTCCACCCCCCATTCTGGCACACCCCTCACACGTTTCGTGGCCCCATAGGGAGCTCCACCGAAGGCCCCAGTGGCTGCGCCCGCATGCGGTTCCACCCCCCATTTCGGCACACCCCTCACACGCTTCGTGGGTGGCTCCATGGGGAGCTCCACCGAACGCCCCAGTGGCGGCGCTCGCATGTGGTTCCCCCGTCATTTCGGCACACCCCTCGCACGGTTCGTGGCCCCATAGAGAGCTCCACCGAAGGCCCCAGTGGCTGCGCTCGCATGCGGTTCCACACTCTTTTTCGGCACGGCCTTCACACGTCTCGTGGCCCCATAGGGAGCTCCACCGAACGCGGTTTCACCCCCCATTTCGGCACACCCCTCACACGTTTCGTGGCTCCATAGGGAGCGTCACCGAAGGCCCCAGTGGCTGCGCTGGCATGCGGTTCCACACCCCATTCTGGCACACCCCTCGCACGTTTCGTGGCCCCATATGGGGGCCCCACCAAAAGGTCCCAATGGCACTGCCCGCTTGCGTCCGCCACCACCCAGCACAGCCCTTGTTCCCTGCGCTTCACCCACCCAGAACAGCGCTTCGTAGCCCTATAGGGAGCTCCACCAAAGGTCCCAGCGGCACCGCCCGCATGCGTCCGCCACCACCCTGCGCAGCCCTTGCTCCCTGCCTGCGTTTCACCCACCCAGTACAGCGTTTCGTGGCCCCATAGGGAGCTCCACCGAAGGTCCCAGTGGCACCGCTCGCATGCGTCCGCCACCACGCAGCACAGCCCTTGCTGACCGCGTCTCGCCCACCCAGTACAGCGTTTCGTGGCCCCATAGGGAGCTCCACCGAAGGTCCCAGTGGCACCGCCCGCATGCGTCCGCCACCACCCAGCACAATTGCGGCATTCACAACTGCATATGGTTGGGTCCTTCGCCAGGCTAATTTTTTACCACGTCTATTAATACATTCATTAATTCCTGCAAACAGGCAGGCAATCTCCCACGCTGAACCATAGTTTCCTGTATTCCCCCCACAATACTGCAAACTGCGGTTCAACTTCGTGTATCAATGTTTCGCTTCTTGTTTGTCCTGTTTCCTTTTGAGTGTCCTTCCCCAAGCGCGATAATAGAATACGCGGTGCTGGCTGCAAAGGGGGGAAAAACAATTCTTCTCGCCCCTGGCCTGGTGAAATTATTACCACGCGAAAGTACGTTTGAATACGATAGTCCCGCGACTCTGAAACGCACAGAGAATCGCAAAAAATGAATAAGAAACAAAGAGAAACGGCAACCACACACTCGTGTTGTGTTTTTGTGATGGTTTGCGATCCCACCGGGATGGAATTACACATCAAAACAACAAATGATTCCGCAATTGTTTCGTGATTTGCGGAGTGGGTAATTGTCGCGCATTGCCCACAATTCACGAGCGCAAGCCCTTCCCAAGAGCACGGGAGGGGGGACCAACCACCAAAAAGCAAACGTGACGCCGAAGCGACGGGGACATAAAAAATAAGCAAACCAACAACAACACATACTTGACAACAACGGGAAACACAAATAAAGACCGCAATCTCTAGTCACAACGGGAACCATCCGCGAGATAATGGGGACAACTATTTTTAAAATGAAATAAAACATTGTTTTTGCTCTCTCTCATATACATATATATATATATATATACACATGTACATGTGTACGGAAATCTATTCCAATTTGCGTGGCGCAACGGCACCGCGCAACGACACCGTGCAAACGCACAAAATCTTACCATGGTGTGGGCGAGATCAAAGAAGCCCCCACTCTGTGCAGACATTTGCCACTGTGCCCTGCCGCACAAGTTGCAAGCCCCTTCGAGTTCTCTGTGCCACATGTTGTGGTATCCTGTAAGGGACGCGCATCCTGGAATTCTGGGCTTCTTGCGCGCTCCTGGGCGTCCCTCCCGTGACTTCCCAGACAGAGAACACGAACGCTATGTTCGGAACATGCATGTTCAACATGGCCTTCCTGGAGCCCTCTGGGGCGCCTCCTGGGCCGTCTTGGAGGTCCTGGGGCCATCTTGGCGCGGAAGGCTGAAACGATCGGTTCGTTCTTTGCCTCTGGGGTTTGTCGTGAGGGCCTCGTGCGATTTTCTTGTGGGATCTGGGGCCGCTTTTGGGCGATCTTGAACGCATCTTGGGTCGCCCTGGACGCCTTAA